TGAAACACTGAAATGAAAATATAATTTAAATAAATAACCCCTTCCACAAAGAGAATCAAACATTCCTACATGCAAGTTAATGGTTCGAAACATTTTCCTGTTTTCGTTCTCAAAGGTAATCATTTTGTTCTTCATCCATTGTAAGAACAAAAACAGAAAAAAATTTGTATTGTAAGGTTTATAGTGAAATTTCACTATGGCAGAAACTAAAATATACGCGTTTACTAAAAAAATACACGTTTGCTAACTTAAACCGGTTGCTCACAGCACAGTTAGGTTAGTACTATAACAAAGACAGGTTCATTATTTGGTACGTTGACATAGAAAAGAATTTCCTGTTCTGTGTTAATAAATTATATCACATGCGTAGATAACAACATCGGCAGGTTAGATGGTTGTCATTTATATCTTCACTCGCCTTTCGGAAGAATAAAAATACAAAGAGAGATACTTATCTGTAATGAGTCATTTCTATTCTAAAAATTCGTTACTATCGCCGTGGACGGTGTCCTTTAATATTCATGTAGGTATTACATTAAGTGTTCCGCACACGTTCATTTTATTCCCCTAAATTAATTCTTCAAATGAATCATTACCTGCGGGCTTGTGTGTGTGTGTGTGTGTATTTGTGCCTTTTTATATTACACAGCCCCACAAAAAAAAGTTCTGGACCAGAGACATGAATACATAGATTTGGTGAATTTTTTATGCTGAATCCGCGTGCGCAGTTCAAGAACCGATTTAGCAGGTTATTTTTTAATAAAACGCTAAAATATCTCCTAAAATAAGGAGAGACAGTGGGGATATGGTAAAGCTTTATAATGAAAAGAAACAATTTGTGAATACTTTGAGAAAACATTTTAAAATAATATTTTGAGCATTGGAAAGAAATATAAGCAAATTAGATCCACACCCACCCCTACGAGGGGGTTAATTCCACGCCCAAGATCAAATAACGAATGTTAGTAGAAAACAATGTGAAAAAACATAGCCCTGAATTTTATAGCACCAAATTTATAAATGTAGGTTCATAGACAACATACAAAAAAATATATAATATAACTTATCCCTCTAAGGGTTAGAAACCACCTACAGACCAGGGTCCCACTTACCCCTTAAGTCGCATATTTTCCTATTCAATATTTTTGCCTGAATTTTGTTACCGTGAGTTTTTGGGGTCGCTGATTACGAATCTGATGTCTGAATCCGACAATTCTTGAATAACTGATCCAATATGGCGGATGTAAAAATGAGAAAAGCATTCAAAATGTGAAGATTATGGCTGAAACTGTGGTTTTCAAAGTCGCCAATCACGAATATTAGATTTTAATTCGGAAATTCTTAAATAATAATTAATAATAATAATAATAATAATAATAATAATAATAATAATAATAATAATAATAATAATAATAATAATAATAATAATAATAATAATAATAATAATAATAATAATAATAATAATAATAATAATAATAATAATAATAATAATAATAATAATAATAATAATAATAATAATAATAATAATAATAATAATAATAATAATAATAATAATAATAATAATAATAATAATAATAATAATAATAATAATAATAATAATAATAATAATAATAATAATAATAATAATAATAATAATAATAATAATAATAATAATAATAATAATAATAATAATAATAATAATAATAATAATAATAATAATAATAATAATAATAATAATAATAATAATAATAATAATAATAATAATAATAATAATAATAATAATAATAATAATAATAATAATAATAATAATAATAATAATAATAATAATAATAATAATAATAATAATAATAATAATAATAATAATAATAATAATAATAATAATAATAATAATAATAATAATAATAATAATAATAATAATAATAATAATAATAATAATAATAATAATAATAATAATAATAATAATAATAATAATAATAATAATAATAATAATAATAATAATAATAATAATAATAATAATAATAATAATAATAATAATAATAATAATAATAATAATAATAATAATAATAATAATAATAATAATAATAATAATAATAATAATAATAATAATAATAATAATAATAATAATAATAATAATAATAATAATAATAATAATAATAATAATAATAATAATAATAATAATAATAATAATAATAATAATAATAATAATAATAATAATAATAATAATAATAATAATAATAATAATAATAATAATAATAATAATAATAATAATAATAATAATAATAATAATAATAATAATAATAATAATAATAATAATAATAATAATAATAATAATAATAATAATAATAATAATAATAATAATAATAATAATAATAATAATAATAATAATAATAATAATAATAATAATAATAATAATAATAATAATAATAATAATAATAATAATAATAATAATAATAATAATAATAATAATAATAATAATAATAATAATAATAATAATAATAATAATAATAATAATAATAATAATAATAATAATAATAATAATAATAATAATAATAATAATAATAATAATAATAATAATAATAATAATAATAATAATAATAATAATAATAATAATAATAATAATAATAATAATAATAATAATAATAATAATAATAATAATAATAATAATAATAATAATAATAATAATAATAATAATAATAATAATAATAATAATAATAATAATAATAATAATAATAATAATAATAATAATAATAATAATAATAATAATAATAATAATAATAATAATAATAATAATAATAATAATAATAATAATAATAATAATAATAATAATAATAATAATAATAATAATAATAATAATAATAATAATAATAATAATAATAATAATAATAATAATAATAATAATAATAATAATAAGAGTGGCGAGGTTCAACATGATTGTTGCTCTACCACCTAACCACTCCCTTACATTACATATCAATTAAATAAGATTATAAAAAACGGAAATACAAAATATACATATGAATTCAAAGCATGCATGAGAAAAATACAAATAAATGCAGATCTATGTTATGTTGGCAACATAAAAAGATATTTAGGAGAACCCGATTTATTAATTTTATTGACAAGAGCCGCCGTCTGAACTATATAACGCTCATTAAGTTTTAATCACTTGGATTGCTCATACTTGTCACTTACATGATCAAATTAATTTTCAAATACAATAAACAAATCTTAAGCAAGCAAGCAAGCAAGCATGTTGTAGCCTATGAAGGCTTCCTTGTCCCGATTTAATATAGCAGGCCAATAAACTACCTCACTATAGGCTAGATAGCTAAGAATCAAGGTATCACATAATCTTAATTTGACATCAGCACCGAGAACATCTTTATAAAGATATATTGTCTGCAATTTGTAGTAACACTGCTGAATTAAATTTGACACATGTTTCTGAAACTTAAGATCAGTATCAAGGTAAATACCTAAATCCCGGCCACATGCAGAAGAGATTAAAGCTTGATCATTGAGGACTAAATTAAGATTAGGGTAACTAATTATGTTATCCGGACATGGTCCGAAAATCAGTAACTCAGTTTTTTCTTATTCAGTATTAAACCATGAGCACTGGACATAGTAGAGATCGTATTTAAGTAGGAGTTAATGTGTTCTATTGCAGAGTCAATGTCGGAAATAGAAGAGTTATAAAATATTTAGTCATCATCAGCATATTGATGTGACTTAGAATATTGCAAGAACACTGAAAAGGCAACAGTATAAATTGAAAACAAAAGCGGCCCCAAAATGCTTCCTTGAGGTACACCTCTATGCATATCGGACAAATCAGACAATATTTCACTTAAACGGAAAGATAATTTGAGAAGAACGTAACCACTAGATCACTAACGCCAAAATATTTAAGTTTTAAACACAATGTAGAGGGTACCAATGTATCAAATGCCTTACTATATTCAAGAAGTACCAAAAAAGTATTTTTGTGTTGATCCCTGGCTCTAAACAGTTCATCAGTAACATCTAATAGAGCAGTAGTTGTACTATGATTAACCCGAAAACCAGATTGAGTTGCCGGCAAAATATTGTTATTATTTAAAAAATTGGAAAGTTGTTCATAAACTATATTTCCAAGAATTTTGTATAGCGTAGACAAAATAATTATCGGTCTAAAATTTGAGATATTGTTGGGATAATTATTTTTAGGCACCGGAATGACAAGTGCTTCTTTCCAGACGTCAGGGAAATCGCCAGTAGTTAAACATTTATTAATAAAAAAAAGTTATGATATGTTAAGTTATATCTAAAATGACGGACCAATTATGGCGGATTGAAAAGTACCAGAGAACTTGGTATTAACCACCCAAAGAAATGCGCTATGAGTGTTTAAAAAATTGAGTCATTTGAGTAAAAATAGGCAAATGTCTAAAGAACGCACAAAATGAGTAAAATTTTAGAGCTGACAATATAAATTAGATCATTCAAGTAGCAAACTGTCTCAACTATAGGTCCGCCATTTTGGATTTAAGAATTTCCTATTTAAAACCTTATACTCGTGATTTGAAAACCATCGAGTTACCATTTGCAGCCATAATCTTCACATTTTGAATGCTTTTCCGATTTTTACATCCACCATATTTCATCCCCCATATTAGATACGCCATATTAAATTCGCCATCTTTTATTGAAGAATTTTAGGATTCGGACTTCAGATTCGTAATCAGCAACCACAAAACCCCGCAGTAACAAGATTCAGACAAAAATGTCGAAAAGAAAAATGTGATGATTTGAAGTGGTATTTTAATTTGCATGTATTTCTTTCCAATGCTCAACATATTATTTTAAAATGTTTTTTCAAAGTATTTACAAATTGTTGCTCACTATTTTACCCTATTTTACCTCTTTTTGGGTTGCGGATTCGAATTCAGTTTTAAAAAATACACAAAGTTTATGTAGTCATGTCTCTGATACAGAACCTTTTTCGCGTAAGACTGTGTTATTTTTCATTTTTTCTCTAGATCATTTGAAAATCACTCCAGCTATACAACTATCCGTGGGGGAGTGTCCAATTTATTTTCAAGAACCATGCACATCTAACATGGTAAAATTCCTACTCTCTTTGAGAATTGGAGATAGTACTACCATCAACTCCTTGGATCCCTACAAACCACAACTACCTAGAGAGTATAATGTTCTAGTTCCCTTGAAAATCATTATCCATGGATATGGAGGGTTGTCTGTAGACATTGCTACAGGAAATGTCACCAAAGCTTATCAGGAAGTGGGCTACAACGTAATTATAGGTTTAATGTTGAATGTATTCTAAAAACTAAGATTTTTTAGCATAATACTATTGAGATTCTTCATCTTCCTCTTATTTCAGTTGATTGGGAGCCTTTGGCGTCCTTGCCCTGCTACCCTACTGCATTCTTGAACACTTGGCACGTGGGACAATGTCTGTCAATTCTAGTTGTCAGTTTACTACCACTAGGAATTAGTCCTGGCTTCATTCACGCCATTGGGTTCAGTCTTGGAGCTCATGTGGCAGGACTCGCAGGGTCAAATTTGAAAAATACTCTAGGATACTCTTTTAGAAGAATAACTGGTACGTCTAATATTTATAAATCTACCAAAAGAGCATAACATTTTTATGAAACACAAATCACAGTGGGTAGATGTCAAATATACGCAATCAAAATGTGATTTTCACTTGTTCGACTTTGACACGTACAGTCTATGATTTTGTAATATGTATTTTATTTCTAGATTCGATTAAGATGAGTTAGTTAATTGATTATTTTTTAGGTTTGGATCCGGCTCTGCCATTTTTTGCTACACTAAAAAATGAATGGAAGCTGGATCCTACCGACGCCAACTTTGTAGATGTAATCCATACTAATGCTGGAGCTTTTGGAAAAGTAGAAGCGACAGGTCATGTAGATTTCTACGTAAATGGAGGTTCCTTGCAACCACACTGTTATAAAGCAAGATGTAAGTATAAATAAGGCAACATCATATATTTTGGATTATTTTCTTAATGTATTCAACTAAAAATAACAGTGAATTAATGAAAATAGTAATTTAAGCAAAATTTTACACGTTCTTTTAAAACATATACATATGTATTAAGGCTGATAATAAACCAAGTTTCAGTACATTTTATTTATCTGATAATACTAACGAATGGCTCATATATTACGACAATTATATGTAACACACATAAATACTAATTGCTAGATTATTTTGCAAAAATTTGCGAAACATTAAAACGCATGTAGCTTATAAAAGCGGAAGAACTCAGAAGCAAATAGATAGTACAAAGTTTTTAAGCAGTTTTCCGTCGAAGTACTGATGATTTCACAGTAATTGAATCAAAAGTTTAAATTATTTTTGGAGGATACTAGTGGTCCCCTAGTGTTTTCTCAATTGATCATTTTAATTATTTACCCCTAAATATTTTAAAGTAAATAGTCGTAATAGTAAAAAAGCGGTTAGTCAAGTGGTTGATTTTATAAATAATTGCAAATAAATAATTAATCGTTATTTTTCCACTGTTAATTCAAATCAAATGTAAAATTTTTTTATTTATCTATCTTCTACATAAGAGATATAAGATATCATACAATAGTTAAGTATTTATTTTAGTATTACCACTGGTTTTATAAGCTACGCTATCTATATTTAATACGAGGAAAATATTTACTTAATCGTGTTAGAAACAATTAACTGCGTTGCTTAATGGCGTTCAATTGACAACTTTTTCTACTTGTTTGTCAAATTTGATTTCAATTTGTTCATTATGGTGTATATTGCAACAATAAATGAGTTATGTGAAATTGGAACAATCGCATCGTCATCAAATTTTTTACAAACAGAATAGTCTTAAAAATATTAACGAGCGAAAGTTTTATTATATATTAAAGAAAAATCTTCTAAGACAGTTAGCTCATTGGGGTCCTGAATCAGTTGAAAATTATCCAAGAAATGGATTGCTTTCGGATGCAACCAGTCTTGATGTTAGCAGAAAAGTAGACACAATGGTTCTCGAAGGCCGTGGTTTGAAAATTGTCTTCTGTACGAAAGCATTAAGTATATCTGAACCATGAGTTTTGTCTTCCTACATGATAAACTAGACGTGAGTGAAATTTGAAAGTGGGTTTCAAAATCATTGACTCCTAAACAGAGGCCACAGGCCACCAACATTAATGATTCGTTTACAATGAACAGTAACAAACCGTTACGCCTACACTCGAGATAATGCGATCGCTGATTGGTTGAATAGAATCTCATGAAAAATACACCAATAACAGCTGATGAAACAAAATATTGGGTTTTAATCTAGTCTTGATGTTATTGTCTTAATCATTTTTTATTTTACCAACATGAAGGAATTAAAATTACTGTTCCAAACAAAATTACTCGTCACGTGACTTGTAATTATTTATTAAGGCTCTGTATTTTTTTGAGACAGTGTCAAAATTGACTTGAAATGTGGTCTTAGTCTCTGATTGTCTATAAACGTATATCTATTTGTTACATACGTCAAATTATTTTTAAAAATAAAAATAATTATAGAATTAATCACGTTATCTATGAATGAAGTAAAACATTATTTATACAGCTTCCTCAATTTCATTTTCATCCTGAAATAAACCATGTCGTTAATTTTGAAAACCCTCTATTTTGAAACTAAAACGTTTGCGGAATCATGTCATGGCAACTTTTCTGTTAATTTGTGATCCAAAATTGGCCAAGTAGTTTTATTACACCTTGTGTATAAAAAAAGTGCAACAAATAAATAATTATAAACAATATTAATTAGGGTGTATAATCCTCTACGTTATATTGTTGTAACTGTAACTATGACTGTATTACATCTTTGAAAAAAGACTCCAACAATAGCGCAATACCATCATAGACATCTTAAATTGCAGCAATAGTTTTAACAGCGCATTAATTTAATTAATCAAAAACTGACACGCGATTTCAAAGCGAATCAGTAGATATTACAGTATATTATCTTATACCGCTGTTTCATTATGGTTCAATTAACATTTCTAATTGTTCTTGCAACTGTGCAATCCAAGGTCACAACTGAGGTCAAATTGAGATTTTCTCTTTATGCTTATTGTATTTCTTTTCAAGATCCTCCTCTGTGCAGTCACGCTGCGGCCGGCTTGTACTTCGCAGAGTCGATTCGAAGGAATAGTAAAAAATTCATCGGGGTAGAGTGCGAGAATATAGCCAGTTACTGGCTGGGATGGTGCACGTCCGGTAAAAGGGCTGTCATGGGGGAGTTTGCAACTTTCACGTAAGTTTTCGTTTTACTTCTGTTGGTGTAATTGGAATTTAATCTGTTCCTTGCAGGACCAGAGGCACGTACTATGTGACTACATCCGAGAAACCCCCATTTGCTTTGGACCGTATTTGATTTCAATGTTATTGTCGAGATGTGGATGTTAGTCTGATAAAAAGAGAAGACAAGGAATCTTATAGTAAAAGGAAACCATTTCCAAATCGAATGCAGTTATTGTCAGATCATATGCAATGCACCTGGCAAAAAACTAATCTGTTGAACAAAAATCTAGAATGCTAACTGTATGGAATCCTTTTCATGCAACAAAACAACACTCTACTGTTTTCGTATGCCTTAGTAAAGTTTATCTGGTATAATTTATCTAAAAATATTTACGCTTTTTTATTGTTCTAACTGTCTCTGTAAGCAGCATATATAGGTCGCCTTATACTATACAGGTATCCGGAAGCGAATGGATCGTACTTCAGTTGTAATTTATTTAAATTAAAAGACACCGATTAAAATCAAGATATGTTGGTACATTTACGCTTCCATAAAATGTTACCAGCTTACAAAAGAAATAGATAATTTGTCAGACATTAAGTAAGGTACCTACTTCGATGAAATTTACTTGAGTTAACGCTTTTTGATTTATAATTTCACAGGGTTTATAAGTTATAATAGTTTACAAGTATTGTATCTCACAATCAGTACTTCGAACAAAGGTAATCTGATTCAAACCGTAAATAAGTTTATCAAATGAATATACCTCCAATATTTTATAATAATCCGTCACTCAATAAGTTCGTAGGATGACTAATAAAGTAATAATTTTTAAGGAAAATTTGATTTTATTCATCTATATAGTCTCCTTCAAGAGTGATACATTGATTCCAACGCTTCTCTAACATTTCAGTGCCTTTTTTTGCAGAACGATTTCTCTTTGATCTCAAAATAGGTCTCAATTTCGGCAATCACTTCTTCATTGGAGCCAAATCTCTTTCCCTGGAGCATTCTTTTTGTCTATAAACAAGTAGTCGCAGGGAAACAGATTCGGAACATACGGTAGTTAGGAAAGTGTAACCTGAAGAGTTATTCCTTTATTTATCTATCTACCGTTATGACTAGTATCGTAACGATACTGGATTTCAAAAGAGTTTACTATTTACTTCTCGAAAGGGAGTTTATAATTTTTTATCATCTACACTTTAATTAATACGTGGGAACTTAGAAATGTGTACGTTCCGAGAATGAATTTCAGGCACTTACCCTCCATTGCTTACGTAGAATGTACTCCAGTGGGTGGCTGCATAGGGTGACACTGAAGTTGGAAGAACCAAAAAGAAAAACCAAAACTTTCCAGGGAGGGTTTAATAACAATAAAAACAAACAAACAAACAAACAAACAAAATAACGATAACACAACAGACTCGAACAAACATTATTGATTCATTTACAGGCGACAGCATTCCGAGATTCAGGGAATGCTAGATTGGTAGCGAAATTTGGAAAGACTTTGTTCATTATTTTCATTCATTTGTCCGCGTTTTTTCAAGTGTAGCCCCCTTCCGCACAAGCCTTTGGCTTTGGATTTGGGGGTTGTCTCATTTCTGTGGTGTGTTTTTTATGTTTATTATTAAATTAACCCGAGATTCTAAAACTAAGTAGACTGTTCAGTGTGGGACCCAAGGAGGAACTGCCTTTATTTTGGAGATCTTTCCTGAATTCGACATCTCGCTTCGACACGCCCATTACTTGGGTCCAGAAGTTTCTGTTCTTATCTTATTGGTGGGCTCCCTGAATATCGAGGGTTGAAATGGCTTAACTATACCATGTTAATACCTAATTGACTGAATTTACAATTATATGGATAATTTTGAGACTAAACTGAACTTACAAGTAACCCTACACCTTCCTTCCCTATACCTTGTGACGTATAGCAACACGGGACGGATTAGTCAATCTCATTTAATCTATTCTTATAGCTTGGAAAATCCGTCTAAAAACCAGCTGTTTGATATATTACTATTTTCCTCATAACATTCTAACAACTTATTTAAATATCTTGGAATTCCTACATCTTTTCAAATATATTTCGCACATTATTAGAAATATCGATTTTCCCCTTCACCATGGCCCCAACGGTCTTAGTTAACTTGTTCAACAACATTGCTAAATTTCATCTGTTCTTCTCCGAAGCATTTATGACTCCCGGTGACAAAAGGCACTAGTCTCTCGTCGACTTTATGGCGACGCTAAACCTACTTGAAAACCCATAACTTTTCAATAATTATTGTTGACTGAAATATTTTACAGTCTGAGTTGGCACATTCGTTCTGGCACCAACAAATAAAATATGGCAAAAAACAAACGACTGTTTCTAGTATTCTTAGTCACCTTTATATTTTAGGTAAAAGATAAGATATTAAAAAAAATATTTCAAAACATTTCCGTCCGTAACATTTTAAGGAAATCAATGTGTAGTGCCAAGGTAACTTGATCTAAACCGATTTATTTATACTTATTTCTTAAGGGGAGCTATATATGATCCATTTCCTAATATCCTGCATGTTGTTTTAGTCGTCATTCCTTAAAATGTCTGATTTCCGCTTATCAATAAATAAGTGTACTTGCCATAAGTTATTAAAATAAATACAGGGTGTTACAAAAAGGTGTTGCCAAACTTGAGGGGGTTATAGAGGACATTGTGGATGAAAATTTTTGTATATAAATCCCTGGGCCGGGAAATGAGCCGTTTTGGCCCTGCAGCAATTTTTGTCCAAAAACGTAGGTAATGTTATTACGTGGCCCCAAAAGGTTTCGATATTTAAATACTTGTAATTTTTATTAAGAACAACACAAAAATAATAAATTTATAAGAACAACTTACCACAAGCCGTATTGAACACGGCTTGTGGTAAGTTGTTCTTTAGTTCGATACAAAACCTCTTCCTCAATCACCACTGTCCATGCAGTTCGTGGATGTCAACTTCCTACGTCTGGTTTAAAGTTGCCTTTTTCTCGTAATCGACGATGGATGGAAAATGTTGTTCGGCAAGGATGTCCGCGATTCGGAAAGCGCTCAGCTTCTCAAGCGTTGCATTTTACAATTAGGCCAACCGATAGAGCGAAAAAAAAGTCCGCTCACTGCTTCCCCAACTACCACTACCCGACTCTGACTCGAGCGTACTTTCGATGGTTTCATGCGGACATTTTTAGCATATTTCCCATCACCCAGACGAAAATCTGAGATACATAAATTGGAGATTATGTCGTCTACTTTCAGATGCCGTTTCCAGAATTGAAATCGCACCATTCTTAATAAATCGCCAGGCTGTGCAAAAGACCCTAATTTGTTTATAATGCAATTGTGCAAAAACTATGCATCGGACAGAAACCATCTTGCGCACGATTAAACTACATATTATTATCTATCATTTTCCGCAAGTTTGTTTTTCCAGCTTCAAATTTGACGGAGTTATGAATTTTGGAAAAAGGTCTATTTTAAAGGTTTTTCCGGATTTTCTCTGTAAAAAATGAATCGATCGGGTCGCACAAAAACCATTTTATAGGTTTCTTTATTCTCTACAAAATTCTTATTGAGAGTAAGACGATTCCATCATTATTTTTCGAAATATTATAAAAAAAACAAAAAAAAAATTCAATTTTTTTGCAGTTTTTTTTGTTTAAAAAAAATGTATAGTGAAATATAGTCTTCAAGTGAGGAGAAAAACTCTAAGTAGCATGGAAAACTTTATTCTACTAATTTCGCTGATAACACGAGACACAACCGAGCAGGAACTAGGCTTCAAGACTTCTGGCTCGTCAAGACTTCTGGCTCGTTCTTCCAAAAGTTTTCGGTTTTTATCCTTGTCCCCAGGTACCTACTTTTATTACTCTATCCTAATTAACACTTATCCGGGTCATTACCTACTCGGTTTGTGCTTATGTACCCTAATAAACAACTACTAATTTATGTTTACCGCCTACTTATTCTAATCTCATTTGCAAAATACATTTATTTGGGATAATCTCGAATAATTCAAAGTATAATTTATATGGCTCGTAAATTCGCAGAAAGCAAACTATATTTATTGGGGCAGGTACTAAAAATAATTGTAGCGTACCGCTACAATTGTTCACGACTTTGCCGGGGAAATCACTTGGGTTTTCATTTACTCAGTATTTTTCAAAAGGAAATACATGAAATTTGCTGTAATATTTAAGTGTGCCAAAAAATCTCTATTGGTTGACCTATCTTGCTTTGCCATAAATAATATGCTTGCCTGCATACCTACTCTTCGAACGTAAATTGATCCATTTATTGCTTGGCTATGCGTGCAATAGAGCTTTTATCACACAGATGTGGATAAAAATCAATTTTTACCAATAAACACTTATCGAAGAGATAAACGTGTTTATTTTGTTTCAAATCATTTTTTGCGTTATTCTTAATAAAAATTACCTAAATATCGAAGTCTTTTGGTGTCAACGAGATAACATTACGTTTTTGAATAAAAATTGCTCAATGACTCTAAACGGCTCATTTCCAACTAGGGGTTTATATGCAAATATTGTCTAATACAATCTCTTCTATATCCTCCTCAAGTTTTGAACACATGTTTGATACACCCTGTATATTTTAAAGTAAAATATATCCTTTTTTGTCATATAAAATAGTAGTATTTATATTTATTTTTAATTTAAGCATTTATAATTAAAATAAATAATAAATATGCAATATTGATATACATTTATTAAAAACTGAATAAATTACACCTACAACCTAAATAATAATAGTTCGGATTCACCGTTAAAGATTTTAGATAGTGTTTTTTAAACAATTGATGTAAGCCGAGGAAAGCCGCTATTGTTTAATTTTCGACAAAGTCAGCTATGAATACAAACACTTAACACTACGTGCAACATAACAGTCTTCAAGTTCAAGTCCAAAATTTAAGCAGTTAAAAATGGCTTACGAAGCGCCAATGTTCACGTACCACTAAATAGAAATTAAATCTGTGTCAATCTCGTATTATTATAAGAATTAATACATAGAAAAGGCACAGTTTTGATCGGTTCAAGTTGACATCTGAAATAACCGGTAATAAAATTGATTTTCTCTTTTAAAGCACTTAAGAAATTATTAATTTCTAAACTGAACTGTCCCAGATTGTCAATGAAATTACACATATGGCCTTCCAGTTCTTAGCTAAACACATTTGGTGTAGTGGATTCCATAGGTTCTATATTTACTGATTGTGCTATTTCTGGTGTTAACAAGCAACACCTTTTGTCCCCGATTGCTCCCTGATGAACGGGACAGAAAGGAGGATAGTTATCATGAATACAGTAAGATCCGGAAGCCCTAAAACGAATAATACATATATACAGGGTGGTCCACAGTGTATACTCAATATGTCAACTCTTTTGTTGTTAAGATTTTAAAAGCATCGCAGAGTAACAAAATAATTTACAATTATTTAAAAATAACCTTAAAATCTCACAATTCATAGTAATTATTATTGGCAAAAAAAGGAAATTCTTACGTCAGTGGCGTACTTTGGCCCATTACTATCGGTAATCCCACTCGATTGCCTGGTCTAGGTCCTGTAGGACATCTTCTGGTGCAAGGTTCTGCGCTTTTGGATTGTCCTGGAAAAAGGCTCTCTGCCATATAGCAGACTGCCCATACGTGACTGCAGAGCTGAGTGTCAACTAAAAGAAGGATAATTTACTTAAAGTAAAGAATAGGTAATTCTTTACTTTCTGAAATCATTGTCATATAGTAACAATAGTATTACCTATTACGTAACTAAAATCCAGGAATTATATTTTTATCAATACAATTAATGACAATTTGTTTATTTTTTCATTTGGGGTTTAGCAACAACAAAGTAATAAAATTGAAGACTTGTTTATTTGAAATATTCGTTCCACTTTTATTTTTAATTCAACTAGAGAGAGCTAGAGAACTAGCAAGATAGTAGTATTAAAAGGGGCAATAACTTTTATATTCTTTGCGCACGGGCCCGGAGAGCCCTTGCTACGCCACTGGTTTACCTACTCAAAGCCTACTGGGACAAAACACTATTTTGAATCAACAGGCAATGTGAACTAATAAGTTCCAAACTAACCTGTGTCTCATGATACTTTCGACAAATGATCTTCGCTGTTTACTAAATATTGAGGATGTAAATCAACGTTATTAGTTAAAAACTTCATTTAAAGTCGTGTTTTCATAGTAGAACACATTGATGTGACTCTTACCAGCAGGTACAGTAAAGCTTTGTGACAGGAGACACTAAATAGCAATGACATTTAAAAGTGCCCTATACTTTGTAGGTTACATCTTGCCCACACCCCACACTCAATCAAGACTCTATCCTGATAACTACTTTTGAGGAGTTCTAGTATCAGGTAAAGTTTGGCCAATGCAATTTGGGACACCCTGTACACTTACTATCCATTTCCTCGCAGTACGGTTGTATCCTGCCGCCGTTTATACAGAAGTCTACGTGTCCTCCTCTTCCTGCTTCACCGTAGTGACCGGCATTTGTGTGCAGGACATGTACAGCACCCGCATTTCCACTGGTCAGACGATTGGGGGCCGTCACCAGCGGCCTGGCTGGATCTAGACCGACGATTCTATGTAGCCGGAAGGTCACGAAACGGGAGATTAAACCGCAGGCATGTGCACCTAAAAATACAAGAGATTCCAGTGGCAGTTACTATTTGGAGGACATGTGTGGCGTTGGAAGGGGGTAAAAGGGTCTATTGCAAATATATTTATAATAATAGATTACTTCTAACAAGTTTTCTTTACCTAATGAGTGACCCACACAAGTCAACCTTTCTGTTCTCAAACCAGCAAGCCTCAATGAAGTTAGCAGGTCCCCAGTGCACTTGGCCACTGCCCTCATGTTGTTGACAGCTGCCCGGTAACAAGGAGGCGGGGCTAAGCTTCCCCAATCTACTACCCACACGTTATAACTACCGTTAGTGTTATATGCTGAAAAAAAAAAAAAATATAGTGATAAGATACTAGTGCACAATTTCAATAATAAATATATAAAGCTATGTCCCTAATAGGGCCATAACTATAAGAGAAATTTACACAGTATTCAGACAATTAATAAACCTAAAAATTATATCGCAATAAACTTTAAAAATGGCCCTGTTAGGTTCAAGTGACCTATATTTCTTACCATCCCTTAAGACCACCATGGGCAGCATATCATCCCCTCCAGCATAGCCATGAATCAAGAAAATGTCCTCTTTATTAGGATCCCAAATGCTCTGCCTCAACCAATCGCTCTGAGTATAGTCCACTTCCTGTTTTTTTCCTTTGCTATATAAAAAATAGCGGATGTCGGGATCTGGACACATGTCCTTTTCGTCGTAGGGTCGATATTTGCAGTCGCGAAGGGTCAGGTTACTGCTTACGAAGTTGTGGAGGAACAGAGCATCTTTTATGGGTTGGTTTGGCAGGGTGACTTGAGAGAAACATGTTGCTGAAAGAGGGAGACAACTCCATTAAAAGAACAATATAAATTATTATCAGTAGAAGAAACAAAGGGAAATTAGAAAGTAGTTGTAAAATCTGATAACCTTCAATTCTTAAATCGTAGAAACTATTGAAAATGAAAAGTATATTTGTTAATTTTTTAACTAACATCTTTTCATGTATATTGGCAGAAGAAATAATATATTGAATAAAATAAATTTTTAGTAATACGTGAATAAACAGTATTCGATGCAAAAATGTATTGTGACCACAAAATTTCGTTTCATATCTTCATTTGTTCAGAACTTTTTTGTATCTCACAAACGAAGACTTCGACGACGGATGTTTACAAATAGTCCTTCAACTTTGACATGTTGTAATACGTCTCGTACAATGTTCCATCGAAAAAATACAACATAGTACATAGTACATAGTACTGATAATCATTTACTTATTTCTGATAACTTTCATCCAATCTAGTTTTCTCTACAATCCATAATATACAATAGAACTCTCTATAATTTGTAAAAAAAATGCGATCTAAAACGCATAAATTTGGAACCTCGTGAAATATGTATTTGGTCATTTTATTGAAGATTATTTGAAAGAAATGAAGAATTGATTGATTGAATTGACTGCCCTTTTCAAAACACAGAAACAAAGCAATTTTAATTTGTAGAAATGAACTTACCTATATTTGTAGCTAGTATTCCAAATAAAAGCCACCACATTGTAAAAAATCAGCAACACAAAACGTAAGCTACCTACTTCGCGCACCCAGTTGATACAAACAAATTCTTAAAATTCTCACTTTTGCGTTTCTTTTAAGTACTTCATAATATATCTGCTGTTAAAAGTCCCGCTAGTTATATACGTACAGAGTGGCTCTTCTTCACTTGACTTTAAAACGTTTTTAAAGCAGAATCGACAACCGTATTATTTAAAAAAAAATTGAACTAAAAATTATCTCTAAAAAATGTGGGTCGACACTATTTGAAATAAGCACAAGAAAGCTTTGAATTTATCAGTATAAATCGAAAATCGTAACTAAGCTCTATTTGCTTGAAGACCCACACTTGAAAAACTGTTACTCACATAAGCGACTTGCATACTAAAACTGTCGCATTAGCATAGAGAAATTTTAGACATTTTACTTAAATCGCATTTAATGAAAACGAAAGACGTTGGTTGCTTTTATCCAAGAACTGCTTGTGGTTTTATTTTTTTTGCGTGTATTGGAACATCTGATCTGGGTCATCCACAGCGACAGGTGCGACATGACGACTCCCTGCGATTTGCATTGAAATCGGCAAAAGCATGGGCGGAGTCATATTAAAAGACGTGTATTATTTTTTCTTTTTTTCTCATAACATTTCAGGGACAATCCGAAACTAAATCCGAATTTCTCGTATCCGATTTATCGAGATCAGTGTTCCGTTCCCAGATAATAACTATTCGTATCGGAAAATCTATTATCTTCTATTTTTTTTGCTCTTTCCTGTCAACGTAAAAAAACTAATAGGTACCATTAACGTTTTCAACTAATCCAAATACGAATGTATAAAAGTTTTTTCTATATTTTGGGCACTTTCATATATTGAGAACTGTTCCTTATAAAACGTACTTAATGAAAATATATATATACTATATACAGGGTGGGCCATTAGTGTGAGAAAGTAAAATAACTCCCTTGTTATTCATAACACAAAAAAAAAGTTTATATAAAAGTATTTTCGGTCTGACGAAATGGCTTTGGAAAAAACTATCACATTGTGTCAACTTGTCAGTTCATAATTTATCATTCCATTGTGAGTTAATTTTATTAGTTAATATTTATTTGTGGTATTCTATAAAATAATAAAAATTAAGTTTTTTCAGAAACGTTGCTTATCTTAAAAACTAACAATTTTAGATTTAGAACATGCTTAATAAAAGTTGAAGTGGACCGATATGTGAATAAAATAGAACAATAAAATACAGGGCGGTGTTCCATTTGAAAAATTTTAGAAAAATCAATAAGTTTAAACTTTCTAAAAATTATCGTATTATAAAAAATACCCTGTATAAAATGTCGATATTAGTTAATATAGGAGCGTTTGTCTAACATTAGCCTATAACTCTGTCTAATTATTTTGTTCCAAGTGTTAGTAGCTGAAAGTTAATACAACTTCTTCGAGGTCATATTTTTTTCCAAAATTCGAAGAATTTTTTACATAATTTGGCAACCCCGCACTAAAATGATAAACTGTTTATATTGTCATATATAGAATTTTCTCGGAAATCCATATGTTTAAAAATATACAGGGGTGTTCCACTTAAAAAATGTAGTATTGGGTGTGCCCCGTTTTTACTCGTCACCCTGTATGTATCAAATTAATTTTGTTGTTTAGGTTTCTTGATTCTGTATAACTTTTATATAAACTTTTTTCTGTATTATGAGTAACAAGTTATTTTACTTGCTCACACTAATGGCCCACCCTGTATATATATTTTTTATATGGGTGACATAAATCTAATAAACTGTATTGCATCTTAAATATCATTAATTTTGGTTTGAAAAAATCTGAAAAAATTCTTCTAAATTAATTCAACCCTCCTAAACATCGAATAACTGTTTTTAGCTCAAGTTATTAGAGGTGGAGATCTTTTTTTTTTCTTTTTACGAAAATTGTTTGTTCCAGAGTCCAATAATAAATTTCGCGAGGGTCGTTCGAAAACTTCTTACTGTATCTAACAGTGATATGGCGCAATAGTATGACTATGTCACGTCTATGATGTTTGTAATGGTAACGATGCTATAAAAGATGACTCCATTGAGTGTTCTGAAGTTTCAGATTTATGAGTCTATTTGCTTGTTTCTGGTGATCGAGTAAATAAACAATTTTCATAATTTTATGAAAATAAATTGACATTAAAATTCGAGCTTCAGCGCCTTATATCAAGATGGAAACTTTAATTAATAGCCATTATCTATCTCTTCTAAGACGCGTTCCGCTCCGACAGAAAAATCCTTCGCTCTACCTGGCCATAACCCTACAGTGAGAACTTTATCTGTTTTTTAGAAAACGTTTAAATTTGTTTACTCTTCTTGATTGCTACAATCTAATTTATCATACCTGACAAATATCATAGTCATTTATGTGTCTCTGTGCCAGACCGAGAACTTTTCGAATAACCCTCATAATTTACCAAAATCAGAGTTTCCAGAAGGTATTATGCAGGGTCTAATAGCAACGTTGTGATAATCTTTTGAGGCTGATTCCTTACCGCAGTTTTCATCAAAGTACTGAAAAATCATTGAAGATCTGAGCTTCAAACTTTTCTTTCGTGAAATGCATTGTTTCAAATTAAAAGGCCAAATGCCACAACGAAGTCATTTAATGTATTTTTAACAGCTAAACAGATGAAAATCTAAATAGCTTGAAATTTTGCAGAAATATATATTTATTTAAGTGATATTAATGTTATTATTAAGTTACTTTTTAATCAAAGTTCATATACCTATGTACTTATGAAAGAACTGACTGTTCCAATTTTGAAGTTTATATCTTCAATTATTCTTGAGTCCTAATTGATAAAAAATTATGTTCAAGTTCACTATTTGAAGATTCGTAGAACTCTCAGGAATTAACTCTGAAGATGTCGCAATGTGGCTGTTACATCCTGTAGAGTTGAATGGTTGTTTATGGCTAATGTAGGAGTACCTACTCTCTTTAATTTTTTTTTTTTTTCAATTAGTGCCAAAACTATAGAACCTATGGAAAAACTGACACTATCAGCGTTTGCAACGGTTCCAGACTTGTATAAATGTGTATATTTTCTTCCAGACTGGTCAGTTTTTTTGAAATTTTATTTGGAGCTTTTCATAAACAGCTTATGAAAATTTTGTGCTAAAAAATTATTTAGCAAAAATTTAAGAAAAATATCTATGTAGGGATTAAAAACAGGATTACCTAACTCAGTGTTATTTGATATATAAATTTTCTTAATTCAGTTGTATTTGTATGTGACTTTAAAGTTTACATTGATGAACCGTGAATTTATTCAAACTTCCCCAACCCATAATTCGATGTACTTAATTCACTAGGAAAACTGGTGCTATTATACATATATAATTATACCATTGATAATTTAATTTGAAAATATAGTATTTTAAAAATTCTTGGTGTTACATTTGATGTGTACTAAATGAATTAAAAAGTTAAGGGAAGCATACAGGTTGGTTTTGGTTTTATTTTAAGCAACTCGCAACAATTAACAGGAACTAAAGCAGTAGGTATCATTATTGTTCAATTTGTTCTCCCTAAATTAGATCAAGCTTTCCTTGTATGGAATTCATATTTATGTTCACATTAATAAATAATAAACATGTGAAATATTCCTGTGGTTTAAATCTGACAACTATTATATCACAATAAGTAGGTACCTACTTTTATAAGTGCTTAAAAATATACAACTTGCTTTCAAAACATTTGAAAAAGATTAGACCTTAAGATCATTATTAGGACGAAATTATAATTGTTGTAGAACCATATCTAATTGAAGATGTAACAGAGGATACTTTTAGATAAATAATAATTATGGAATGTGTTTTTATAAACTTTTGCTCTAGTTATAATTTTTGATTATTTGTTCATTATTTGATACTATTTGTTCATTGTGTGCTCGTTTGATTTTAGCAAATTCTTGTTTAGCATTTGCTTTATTTTATCATTTAAGTTTTATCGTTGTTATTATGAAGAATTGTAGACATTGTTTGCTGTTTGACTTATACTATACAAATGTAAATTTGTCCCTAGAATAAATAAATTTTTATTTCTGTTTCTATGATTAGATGATTCCTTCTAAAAAAATACTATCTATATGGCATAAATGTAATTCATAGATAACTCTTAAACAAAATTTGAATTTGTTAACAACTTTATTAAAATCTTCACCATTATATGTTTGTTTTTGTGGGCAAAACTTTGGATATCTTTCATCATGCTATGTTAATGGGGGCATTTTTATGCGTAATTTTCAGTGAATTTATAGCATTTCTTTGACAAGGGTTTTAGAAAATCTAACCAAATTAGAAATACCTCTTTACTGTGCCAATTATACAAGTTTTCTCCAGAGTATAAGACAGTTTACAACCTAACAATACATTCAGAATAAGGAAATAAAACATATTTTTACTTTTTATATTTATCAATTACGCCCCTGTTGAATATACAGAAAATTGTGTAGGTACAGTACTATAAACATAATCACACCCCACATAATGCTTTTATGAAACTATTAATACATGAATTAATCATACTTATTAAGTACTTTTTACAAAATTCTCGACAAGAATGGAAAGGTACATTCCGATGCTTACATTGGTGCAAATGCATCTTTCTCTGCAAAAAAATAAAGAAATCTGTGTATTGCAAGATTTTTATATGACGGATTTTCTTGTTCTATCATTGTCATTCTAAATGTGCTATTTCTTGTCTATAAAACGCCAGCCTTAAGAAAATCTTCCAAGAGCAACTGCCTGGGCTGATTTATATTTTTGATCAGCATTTTTGTTTTTTTTAAATTTTTCATTTGTACGTTAATACTTTTCTATATTTATAAGTTTATCTACATAATTTTAGTCAGTTGTTTTTCCTACCTATTCATTGGCTTTGTGCGTGTGGTGTAATGTAAAAATTAAAATAAGAAAATATAAAACAATAATAAAATTAATATTTTTATCCACCCCGGACAATTTTAACAATGTGCTTTGCGCCTTCTCCCCCCCTCCATGTCTGCTGCACTCACATTTTTAAACCAACTAAATTTTCTCGAAAAAAAAACTATTATAAACAAAATTTATTTATAAAATACGTAAAATAAATGTAGCATTCTAAATTACAAAACATGATTAACGTTCATTTTTTAACTCTTATTATATGGTATTACTGGACAAAAGCTGTGACTTGCGCCACAATATTTTTTAATTTGTCTGCTTTAAATATCAATATCCTCCTGTAAGGCACGACTTGCTTATCTTCAGACAACCACCTACCACCTAGCCCTGTGTCCGATTCATTAGCAACGCTGAATTCAAAACTGATATCGGCTGCTTTAGAGACAAGTTCTTCCTCATCATTGGAAAATATTTCCTCTGAATCTAAAAATTAAAATAAGTAAAATAATAGCTACAGTACACTATTTGTGATGTACCTTTGTTTTCTTTAGGTCGACAAGTCTTGGATATCATTATGTAGTGATCAAAATTATATGATGGGTCCTTCTTCTTCATCCTCTCTACTTCTTCGTACAGTGAATTAAGCATTACAGCCGATATTTTTGCTGGAATGTTTACAAATCTCTCATTTACGAGGAATCCAAGTTTTGACTCGGCCAATAGCTTTTTTATATTTTCTTTAGTAACAGAATCGGTGTGCTTTGAACTCATTTCTTCCAATAGAGCATAAAACTGTTGAACACAAGGAGTCTCCTAAAAAACAAACGGAATAATATTCGTAAATTTCAACATATATGTTATGTCACCTTATGAGATGTTAAATTAATTACACTAGTAATGCCAAAAACATCACTCTCTTCACTAATATCTGTGTCATCTTCATTATCATCATCATCATCCCCAAAACTTTGTTTCAGGACTGATCCTATGCCATGTTGCGCAATCAACATGTCACTCATCTGAGAAATGTCTATGTGCGCTTTAAGAAATAACTGGTGCAATAACTGTTTTATTCCATGGAAATCCTGTCCCTCTGGATTTCGTCCTTCGAAAGTAGCTTGAATTTCCTGAAATGTTGCGGTTATCGTTTATTTTTTACAAATGTTATAAAAATATTATAAAATTACGTTTAAAGTCAACATAATATAATTTTTTTTAACAACAGAATACATGGATTTAAAAAACACGTGTTTAGTAAACATAACCTTACTTGTTGGCCATGGTAAGTTCCAGACTCACTTTCTTCACTCATGGACTCATCAGATTCTTCTGCTTTTGCAGGCTTTCGCGATTTTTTTGTAGGGCCAGCCATTTTTAACTCAAACTCGAACGTAAAATGAGACCTTAATATCACATTGACGATTCGAGACAACTCTAAAAAAATAGTCAAACAGCGAAACAGCTGTAATCTGTAATACTGAATATTCAATATATTATTAACCTTCATTTAGGCAACCAACAATACTATATCCTTGAGAACAGGGTGGCAAAGTAAAGTGAGGACTTTATTTCCCATTCAACATACATATTTTTACTATGTATTTTCCAAGTATCTACTTAAATTTTCCACTGAACTTTATTATGTATATGTGCATAGTGATTAATATAAATTGCCACCAAAACTTCTTCATGTTTTAGGAAGAAACGAAGCTAAACCAGTTTTGCACATTAGAGATCAAGAACTATCGATAGTTCATTATCATCGATAATTATCGATAGTTATGACCTCGACTATCGATTATTATTATTGATTTTCCGATAGTTAAAAAAAAGGTTTATTTCAGAAAATGTGAGATTAATACTTATCTTCTTTAATGCAAAATTATGGAAATGTTACCCTATATATGATAATGTTAACTAAAAGCCAGAAAGTGTACAGAAACGGAGTGGTAAAATAAGTGGTAGTTTTTTGGCACAAGCCTACAAAAAATATAATCTATTATACATTATTGGCCTTAAAAGTTCCACAAACTTAGTCACTCACTTTTCATGTCCATATAATGATGGTAATGTAAGTTTGAATTTTAATAAATTATAGCCAATTTTAGATAACGATTATATGTACATTTATGATTTACTGTTAAAATGCATAATCCTAACAGTTCATTGTTATGTCTATATTCTATTTATGTACAAAATTTTGTTTGCCACTCCTTATTCCATATTTAAAATAATTAAATAATTTATGTTATTTTGATTTGCAGTCGGTTATTTTCCAAAATGTATACCTACAGGGTGTCCAGAATAACGTGTACAACGTAAGACCACAAATTGTGGTCTCAAAATAGGCAGATTTAGACTAATTAGCTGAATATACACGCAAAGACTTATTGGGGCGATAAATTGTACCAAATAATCATCGGATAAATCATTAAGAAAAATCTTTCAGTCAAATCTTAGAGAGGACACTAATGCAAAGTTTTATTGATTCGAATTATTGTACAAAGTTTATTTGACAGTTTATTCATTACGTCTGTGTCACTCGCAAAGATTTATCTCTAAATTTGGTAAGATTATTAGAACAAAAACGAATAAATTCTATTCGAGGTACTATTTCAAGAGTTGACTAATTTGTGAATATGATTGTGGAAAGGACATAGTCATATACCAGGAAGATCGGAAGTACACTTTTGGTAATCCTAAACAATCGAAAAATATTACAGAAGAATTTAATCTAATTATCCTTTTTTTATTTATTTATTTTTTTAACACCTCAATGATAATAGACTTTACCAACAAAAGTAACGCGAACTATAAAAATTATGTTTCACTAAGGAATTATATTACTGAGCTATTAACTATAGATATCTACATATATACAGGGTATTAATATTTTAATTTTTAGTGACCAATCTCTAAATGAGAAATAAACCGTAACATATCTTGCAGATATTTCCTCCAACACGTATACTAACACGCAGATGACGCTCTACAAAATATCGCCCGATAATTCATGACAGATTTATCTACCGTTTGATCACTGTGTTAGTGTACGTAACAAAATAATTGCTCTAAATTATTTGGCAACAATTTATCTGCCAAAATTTTGGTATTTTAATTTTTCTTGATGACCCAAACTAGCAGTTTTGTCTTTACAATTTATGCAATTCAACAATAAATCGGCCAAATCGGTCGATAAAACTGCTTGTGTATATTCAGCTATTCACCTATATCCAAAATCGCTTCATTTGGTCGCTAGATGGCCTCAAAGTTCGTAAAAAATTGTTTAATTTTGTTAATAACTTGAATACGTATTATTCGATTTTGATTATTTTTGGAGTGTGGACTTTTGCTTTCAATCTACACACTTTAGTGTTATACAGTGTTTTTTAAAGTCCACAAATCTGTGGTCTTCCGTTGTATGTTATTCTGGGACACCCTGTATAAAGTAAAATTTGTTTAGTCTCCCAACTTAGTTTTATGTGAAGATATAATATGTAATTATAAATTGAAATTTTCTAACTAAAGAAAGTTCTATAAACATGTCATCGACTTTTACATTTATGGTAGAAAATCCTATTATTATTGTCACTGTTTTTTGTGTATTGTTTTTAATCCATTTTTTTTTATTTTTTGCGGTGTCATTTAATAACTTTTGTCAATATTTATTAAATACAAGAGATGTGAGAAAATGGTAAGGGTATGCTTTTTAATAAAATTTGCGAGTATAAATAGGTAGTTACACATTTTTTATTCGACTAGACTAGGTTTTGTTTTAATTGTTTGATTATTTTTAGTAAAATCTGCTATATGAATTGCTGCTTATGCATTAGCAGTGATAAAAAGAACTTGAATGCTTTAAAGAGGTTTAGCCCCCACGTCTCCTTTGAAAAACCTGCTCCTGAAATAAAAAACGAACTAATATGAAAAGATATGTAAAACTTTACTTCTTGATTGACTTTATTTAATAACGGATACAAATAGTTTTTTTTTAAATACTCATCACACAAAATAATATGTCACACTTTAAAATAAAATACTTCACACTTAAAATCATATAGACAATGCATATAAATAATATATAATATAGAGAGAGGGATATAGAGGGACGTTATTTAATTGTTGAGCATATTTCAATGACGATTTTGCGGGAGTCCTTGCTGATTACCAATATCATTGATTTCTTGCCCAAATCTTTCTCGCTGTAAATGCTGTAAATCCACTAACATTTGTCGTATCCCTTGTGCGAAATGTCGTCTTTCCTCTAACATACGTATCTGTGCCTGATGTTGTTCCCTGTTAAGTTCAGCAGGATTGATCTAAAAATTAATAGAAAACGAAATTTATATTTAGGCAGTTTCTAATATGTAATACATTTACAAAAAGCATGAAAAAGAGAAAAGCTAATATATTAGAACATATAAAGATTAAATAGTTATAAGGGTTAGTCCTAGATTATCTCCCAATATTTTTAGAACAGATTCATCAAGAAACAAAAGTACCAGGTTGTATTAATTTTTTTGTGTAAGTGGATAACAGATTAGGACATCTTGACTCTAATTTATACAGTATTAGGGGATAACTATTACAATCTCATTCCGTATTTATTGATTTTTACCTTGTTCTAAAAAAATTATTTACAATTAGAGAAATAAAGGGCTGTTTAATGTTGATAAACTAAACCATTTTCCAGAAATTTGAACTTACATAATTATGCAAGTGCATTTGTAGTGTACTCATTTTTTCAACACGGATCGCGTGTGAATTGCACATTTCTAACAATTTCCATAAAACAAATTAATAGTTTAGTTGTTTATGGCTTTAAAAAAATTAATAAGTAAAGTACCATGTTGTTTAATGGAAACTAATACTCTACTAGGACTGTGAATTAATTTTGACGGATTTTTTGTAAATGCAAGGCTTTATTGTGAAAAATTGTATACATTATTATTTTTCAAAGTATTGTCTATCGCTAGCTACTTTTTCCCATCTTTCTGGCAACATACAGATTCTGCTTCAAAAGAACAACAGACCAGGATATGTCGAATAATCCCACTTCTTGGATGCAAGAGGGGGCAAACAAATTTTTGCTAAAATACCTTCAGTACAACTCACATAATAAAAGTGTAGATCCCTAGATCTGGGCGAGGTCCGGAACATTGTCAAAATTGCAAAAATGTTTAAAAAATACCTATTTTATCTTAGTTTTTTACTTATATCTTGGAACCTATGCATTTTGGAAGAATATTGAAGAGGAAAAAAGTTTTAGAATTGAATTTTGCACAATATACTGAAAGTTTGAAATTTAAATTTATTACCGATGTTGCAAAATAGCTGCGAGGGCATTCTAATTTTGGTAAAAAATTAATTTTTAAACAATTAGATTACATTTATCAATTTGCAATTTAGTTTTTTTCAAAAATTATAATTTTAAAGTACCTACTCGGAAAGACGCTTCTTTAAAAAAAAAAAAAAAGTTAAATTCCGTTTATTGGTTCTCCAGATATAAACAGTCAAAGTTTATCGGCATTTACCGTTAATTTATAAACAATTTAGCAATAACCTTTGATCTAGTGGCTTTGTTTTTTCGAGTTCTAAGCTGAAAAAAATGTTCATATCCATAAGTTATAGGCAACATAGATAAATCATCGAAAAAGCTGTCGCTCGCACGCGCGAGGAGTGACTCAAAACACGAAAAGTGGGGGAGGGGCTTTCGCTCCGAGACTGAATTCGGAGGTTCAAAATGCGAAGGTACGGAAAAAATTGCATTATGTCGGCTTCTAATAGATCTTTTCTTTTAATCCGATGTCTCGCGAGCCAAGGAATTCGAATATCGTAATGCCAACTTTCTAATTTGCACATATTTTGTTATAAACAAAGTTTATTATTTATGCATTAAATATACTGTATCTTTTACCCTATGCATACATTGCAAAAAAAAAATATTTGGAAATTAATTTTTTTGTTAAATAGAGATAAAATTAAGAAAAAATAATACCCCAAAATTATAATTTTTGAAAAAAAACTAAATTGCAAATTGATAAATGTAATCTAATTGTTTAAAAATTACAAAAAAGGGTGTCAATTTAAAAAATTTACTGTGACTGTCCTAATCATCTGATTTCAATTTTTCAAAAACCATTTGAAAGGTTGAGGGGTCTTTTCTATGTAAAAAAATTTTCAAGTATCTAGATGCTTTATTTGAGGCTGTGTGCAACATTTTGAAAATTTGAAAAAAAATTTTCAAATAATTTTGCCAAAAACTATCGAACCGATTTTAATGAAATTTGGTGTTTTATTATACTCTAAAGTTTTTTTTACCAAAATTAGAATGCCCTCAGAGCAATTAAAATATTTAAAAAAAATATCCAAAAAACTGATTATTTTGCCTTTTTTCATCAATTATTGCTATTTTGCAACATCGGTAATAAATTTAAACAATTTTAACCTTTTTTCCTCTTCAAT